ACTACCGATATGCGGGTCGTTCTACTGGAGACCGTGCTATTGCTACTGCTGCTGCTGCTGCTGCTGCGGCTGCTACTACTACTACTACTACTACTACTACTGCTACTACTACTGCTACTACTACTAGCACTACTACTACTACTACTACTACTACTACTACTAAATTATACGAACCCAAAACAACTTAAAGGTTGGATATTGGGGAAGTAAGTTCGAAGTAAACCCTAAACCCCGAAACCCTCCGCCTGGTCTGGGAAGAGGCGGGCCACATGCTGCCGCAGGGCAGCGACGTTGTCCAAAGGCCAAAGGCGGATCTCACCCAGCTGCTCTCCTAGCATCATTAAAACAAATTAGAGTTATAAGGTTTAGGGTTTAGGGTTTCAGGGTTTAGGGTTTAGGATTTAGGGTTTATGGTTTTAGGGTTTAGGGTTTAGGTTTTATGGTTTAGGGTTTTAGGGTTTAGGGGTTGAATTTAGGGTTTAGGATTTGGGCTCAGGGTACTATGTGGGCCTCAAGTCTTTGAGCCGCTCTTTGGGTATTATGCTCTAGCCGCATAGCTATAAAGCATTCCCATCGAATCTTTTGGTCGTTTTCCTTGTCACCTGCATTGGAAAGCAGTATCGGATCCTCACCATAAGATTGGCCAAGGAACTGCAACGGAGACTGTCGGTAAGGTTTGAGTTTAGGGAAGGAATAATCCCTAAACCCTAAACCCTAAACCCTAAACCCTAAACCCCCCTAATCTTGGGCGGTTTCGGGCTTAGGGAAGTGGAGGATCTGGGAGATACGGCTGAGCAGATAGGGTTTAGGGTTTAGGGTTTAGGGTTTAGGGTTTAGGGTTTAGGGTTTAGGCTGCTTTTTGCAGGTTCGACGTCTCGTGCCTCTGTCCAGCCTCAACTGCCGACTTCCTGATCCAGAGGCCGACCCCAGCCCAAAACACTGAACACGATTTAAACCCTAAACCCTTGAGCATGAAAAAATGAAACTGTGGCGAACCCGGGCTGTGAGATTTTCGACTGCAAAGCTTCGCCGAACTCCAAACAAATCCACGAATAGTTCTCAACGGTTACAGGGTCTCCTTCAGTACCCCTTAGTATACGTATGAGTATGAATGTACCGTACCTGTTTGAAATACCCTAAAAGAGAAACTGGTCTAGAGAGCTACCCTCATCTCATCCCGTCCTGTGAGGGCGCAGCGCGCATGGAGGCTCAGGTTTGACCTTGACGCTAAGCGCTAAGCCCAATAAATAGTATAAACCCAAACCGCTACACCCTATACTTCAGGAGTGCTAGGACCCCCAAGTACCCTTTAGTAGAGCCCGTACGGTGGTAGGCTTCTAGGGTGTTGCTCTGCTTTGATGCTTTTGTCCCAAGCATCACGCCAGAGGCCTGGTCGCTGTCCAACCTGGAAAAGTGCGCTAAACTTCACTGATGCCCTTGACGATGGCGTATTGGCCGATCACGTATGTCAGCATGATCCATACATCTGCCATGGGGATTCTTGTGATGAACTTGTCAATCCCGATCATCAAGTCACTGCTCATGAAGAACAATGCCCCCGCCACTGTCCATTGGAAGCTTTGCTGTGTCGCAGTACCATAGCGGTTGATGGCTGCAAGTGCCATCATGCAAATCACGGTGATATAGCCAAGTACAGGCACGGTCATGCTTCCAAGCCCCTTCCGCGCAAACCAATAAAAGGCAATCGTCAACAGCAGAAATGGGACAGCTATCCAAGGGCGCCTGAGCAGTAGCGTGCCCCGCTCTTTCTGGAATATCACCACGTACATGATGTGTGCGATGAGAAAGCTTGCCAAGCCACAGACGAAATATCCCTCGAACAGCAAGAATATATCCCCTAGCCATGAGAAGAACAGCGCAGCCATGACCAAGATGCGCTGCCCGTGCTTCGGGCTTCCCAGCAGAAATGCTCCGGCCAAGACGGGCATGAGCAAGGGCTTGAGGACAAAGTCCGCTTTGGGAATCGGGATGGCGCGGCCTAGCAGTTCCAGCACAAGAACAGCCCAGAGTAGCAACGTCAGTGGCTTGTTCATGGGGCAAACAGGTCTGGCCAGGCTTCTTTGGGCTTGCTTGTAAATCCAGCGACAACCAGAGAGGACGCCAAGCTTTAGATTTTTCATGTAATAACCTGATGTAAGTTTCACCGGGAATCGCCATGAAGAAAGCCCTGTTGTTCCTATGTGTTTCCGCACCAGTTCCTTATTGACTCAAGCCTTTGAGCACCCGTGGATTGATTTTCCTTGATTAGTATGAGATCGCAGTCCGTGACGGGGAGGGGGATCTACGGCGTGACTTGTGCCGAAATGGACGCAGCCGGGTCTTAGATCAAATCATGAGACGAGGGCTCCTGCAGGGTCCTCAATGCAACTAATGTAGGGCCTTAATAATTAAAATTGGGTTTTCGGTATATTATACTATGTACTTATGATAAGGAAACCCCCAAAATAGGCCCCTAAACCACTGAAATGATAGACCTCCAGAGCCCAAAAGCAGTGCTAGTGACAGGCTGCCGCTGCTTCATTTGGGCAAGGAAGTGGCCATCGAAGTGGTGCAAGATGATGACCGTAATATAGGGGCCTAAATAATTAGAATGGGGCCTTGGGGAGTATGCTATAATTATGATAAGGAAACCCCCAAAATAGTATTGGTAATTGTTAATTATTAATCCCCCTACAGTATCAACCTGTATGTACCGATCTGTGATGTCACAAGGAACGATTTCCTGACGATCCCTTTCCCCCCTCTGGGGCCTGCTCAGAACCTGATCGAAAGAAGACGTATCACACGGTCCCCTAATTCAGGCATATGATATATATATATATATATATGTATATATATACACGTAGTACTCGACGATGAGATGGGCTATGGCGCGATCTATCCTGAATAGAAGTTGGCAAGCGGCCTTGCAAGCAAGAAACTTTACAGCCATGTACTGTACGGGCCTTGATAATTAGAATAGAGTTTTGGGAGGGTTCCTTATTATATCTATTGTTTACTATACCCCCTAACCCTATTCTAATTAGTAAGGCCCCTATAGTATCACGACAGAGAAGGGCCGTTGCCAGGGACAGCGCAGTCAAGGTAAGACAAACGGGCCCACGGGCCCACGGCCCCACGGGCCC